TCTAAATATAAATAAGGATTTTAATTTTTCTTAATGCTTTTAGGACATTTTTGGTATGGACAATGTCTATTATTTATCCTGTTTAAGAATATGAAACATGAAATTTGATACCCTGAATGGTTCCAAAAACGAGGATACATAAAAGAGAGAGAGAGAAAAAAAAGGACTTCTGTAGCAACAAATCTCTCAGAAAAGGATTTGATATTCTCAACATTAGAAGCATCCATTGAATAGTGTGAGATTTCACAAGTTTGAGCGATTAAAACAAACACTAATGGAAAGAAATAGATATGACTGCAGCTTCTCTTTAACCTCCTCCTTCAGCAGGATAGGTGGCACTTTTATTCCTTCTTCCGACATTGGCCAGGTTACCTGCAATTAATTGCAAATATCACAAAGTTTTAGAGCCAAGATCACTGTACTGTAATGAATGCCAACAGGAAACAGGATCAACGTCTTAAAATGTACAAAATAAGTAGCATGGAAGTTCTAGGGAAACAGATTGTTGGACTGTAATTGAAGTACATCTACACAAGAAAAGAAAAAGGAATCACCAATAAGCATAAACATTTGGTATTAGCAATATGTATTTTTGTATAATGCGAGTCCAGTACCAAAATCATCCTAGGGAGAAAGCCATTCAGTCCTCTCTCATACCATGTCTTATTTGCAATTAGCGATTGTCTTTTCAAACGAAAGCTCCTCTTCTATCACATTGGTGGTAATATTAGATGAGGCTATACTGTTTGAATCCAAACATCAGATTTAAGAGAAATATTCATGCTGATTTATGGTCAGCCGTTGCTTCCCTTAGAAAATAAACTCTTGAGACAAACCTCCCAAGAAATGTGTGATCACACAAATTCTCAAGCAGTTGAATGACTGCATTTAGGCAATAAACAAATCACTTTAGGAAACTAGGAGAAGCTGCTTAGATCTTAATTATTACACAACACACATGCATCCACACAAACAATTTGATCGTCAGCTTACCATCTAAATATACTCTTATCAGGCTAAAGAGCGCTAAATTATACACACACTGAGAGATAGAGAGGGAATCAGCTACACATTTAGCTCATTTTGCAGCAGAAGCTTGACCAAAGAATGATTAAACATATCACCACATTAAAACTACAAGGGTTTTCAATCATTATAGAAAGGTTTCAGAAAATTAAGACTTAAAGGTAGAATAGAAAAACAGATGCTACTTTCTAATAGCAACTTTGCAATTCTTTTCTGATATCTCTTAAACTTCAATAATTGTTTGAATCCATAGAAGTGAATCGAGGTTATTCCTAAGCACGAAACCACGTCCTTTGATCAACCTCTAGATTTCAGTCTACACTGACTCAACCTTCATTCAATCAAAACATGGGGTTTTCATACAACATTCAGAGCTCTACATGATAACAGTAAATGATTAACGGATTCTGCGCACAGAAAATTGAACCAGAGGAAAAGACCCAACAAAATCTATAAATACCTGAAAATCCCAACATGCATAAATCTGCAAAATCAATAGAAGCAATGAAAAGATCCGAGCTGTATCTGTATTAAAATTTCCATAACACAAAGAACAAATGGAAAAGAGAATAAAAAGAAGACGAATAATCACCAGAAGTAGAGATTTCAATCAGAGGAGGCGGCGGAGAGGTTCTCCAAGAGCTTCTTGTCCCTTCTTTCCAACGCAACATCCCACATATCATGACCTATGTGCTTCGGCTGTTCAAAAACAGACGTTTCAATCGAATG